AAGCAGCAGTTGCCGAAAAGGACTAGCAATATCTGTATCCAGGACAGATAAGTTGGTGGGGCAGTAAATGGAGTTAGTCCACGGACGAACGGACCGGTAGTGCGGTCGAGGAGACGGGCACGTCGACAGTCAACAAGGAGATCGAACTCGGCAAGGAAGTCCGAGCCGAGGATTGCATGAGGGACATCAGCAATCACAAAGATCCAAGTGAATGACCGGCGAAGGCCAATGTTCAGGGTGAGGGACAGACTGCCAAAAGTGGGAATTGGGGAACAGTTAGCAGCTTGAAGATGAAGACCAGGACTAGGGAAACGGCGATCAGCTGCATTTGGGGGAACAACACTGATTTGAGCTCCAGTGTCCACCAGAAAACGTCTGCGAGTCGCAGTGTCGCAAACATAAAAGGTGCGACCAGAGCCGGAGGAGCCAGGGAAAACGGTCGCATCTATTCTCTGGCTGACTGGTTTCCCTGTTTTGGCTTAAAAGAGCAAGGTGAGGAACAGCGACGGGCCTTTACGCCGAAAGTAATGTGGTACCAGCAAGTATCAGCAGTCCGAGGTCGCGAACGAGAACGACGACGACTGCGTGAGCGACTGGAATTTAGGCGGGCGAGCTGTATTTTAAGAGAGGCCATCTCATCTGCCATGGCCGACACCTGTTTTAGTAAATGCTCATTCACTGACGATGAGGATGAGATCTGGGCAACGGAAGGTGACTGAAATCGTTGCACCTCTATCATTCGATCGGCCATCTCAGCCAACTGTGACACTGAGAGATCCTGAGAGCCGGACGCCAGGATCGTTTGGACATCTGTGGGCAGGCGCTCCAGGAACATCTCCTTGACAAATTTATCATCAACTTGCATGTCTCCAAGGAGACAACGCATCCGACGTAGAAGCTCTGAGGGCTTCCGGTCACCCAATGACTCCTCCTTAATTAACTGGTGATACATCTGTCGGTCAGACACAGAATTAAGTCGGAGGATTTCTGCCATTAACGCGGAGTAGGGAGCATCTGCAGGAGGATTAGCTAGCAAGGACTGAACTTGAGAGATGACACTAGCGGGGAGGACCTCCACGAGTTTGTGGTATTTTGCTAGCTCCTTGGTAACGTTGGCAGAATAAAAGGCTGATTCTATGCGGATGAAGTAAAGTTCTGGAGCGTGTTGCCAGAATTCAGGCAAAGTAAAATTGATTGCATGAAGGGACTGGGCGGGGGCATCAAGTTTTTGATCGGAGTGAGACATAATAAGACAGAGATGTCAAAATATGAGAATTCGTGAGGAAAGTAAATGTAAATGGAATAGATATTCACAAGCAAATAGTACGTTAAATGTTATCCAGTATGACGGAAAGCGATAAAGTCTGCGTAAACGCCACGAGTCACCAATGTCGTAAATCGTAATGTTCTCACGAACTAACGAGTTATATCTCACGAGCCCATAGACTTAAATGCAGCAAGTAAATCGGAGCAGTGAAAAATATAGAGGTTTTTGAACGTTAAGAAAACTGACAACAGAATACCACAGCAGAGGACGCTAGCACGGCGGGTTGTACAGGTGTGTCGTTTCTCGTCACATTCAAACAGGCAATGCGGTCAAAGGAAATGGGACTAAATTGTCAAAGGTAAATTAGTCAGGTACCTCACCACAAAGGTGCGAGGGCAGCGGGGGCGGGTGCGGTGGGTGTTGGTTGGTGCTCCTGGCACTGGTTCGCCAGTCTCTGTGCGATGGGTTCGCAAGTGACTGACCAGGTCGATGTGTGATGTGAAGGTGCGGTCGCAGTGAGGGCAGGTGAAGTCCTGGTCCTCACCCCTGGAGTCGGAGATTGGAGAGATGGTGTCTGTTGTTGTGTCATAGATGTGTGTGATGCTGGTGTGAGTGTCGGCCACCAGCGCGGCCGTGGTTGGTGCAATGGGGCAGGAGGAGGAAGAGGCGGGGGAAGAGGTGTAGGAGGAGGGGGAGGACGGAAGTGCTGGTTCAGAAGAATTGTCATAGTTGGTTAACGGTGGAGAGGACGATGCAGAGGCGGGCGGAGGGGCGGCGATTGGTGCGGTATGGGAGGTGCAGTTGGTCCGAAGATGTCCAATGAATCCAGTTCGTGCCCGGAATGTCCGTTAACACCGAGGACACTTTGGAAGCGGTTGTACGTCGGCGTTACGGACGGGGCGTAGTTGTGATTTGCGTGCTTCGCGTTTCACTTTGGCAGCGGCGATTCGGTTGGCCTCATAGATCGCAGCGCCTGACTTCACTTTCCTCCTCCAGGTCGGTCGGTCGAGGAGGAGCTCTTCCCAGTTAGTCGGGTTAATTTGCAGATGCTTCAGGCAGGACTTCAGAGTATCCTTGTATCGACGAAATTGGCCTCCTGGGCGGCGAGAGCTCGTCGCGACGTCTCCGTAGAAGAGTCGTTTCGGTAGTCGCTCGTCGTCCATGCGCACCATGCCAATTCTTTGAAAAGTCCCATTTCGCAAGTGCGGCAGGCAAGTAGGCTTTTGGTTCTAGCGGCATCTGGTTTCCATCATCGACTTCCTTCCTTCTGGTTTCAATCTTTACAGGAACAAATGCTCCGTCTTTGTAGAAGTAATAGCGGTAATCCCTTGTTAACCTCGCCTCATCCGTTTCAACCCCTCTCTTTGATTTTTCTTCGTTACTCTGGTTCATCTCCGCACTTGTGTTAATAAGACATTTTCCTTCCTCTTTCCATTTCAGTCGTCTGTGGGTAGAAAACGTTAGATCATTAAGCCATTAGAGATCGACTTGCATCCTTATGCGGAATGTGACATACAAAACAGTAGACTTATTGGAAAGCGCAATCCCACGTTAACCGACATCATGCTTACCTTGAGTGTCCTACGATTGCCACATTTCTATGGAGGACAGTTGTAACAGCTGCATTGTAAGTAACTGGCCCTATAGTTCCTACAAAAAGCAAAAGACGGCAGCAGCAGGATGATTTGCAAAACATTACCATTCCAGCCTTACACTCGCACACACTTACCAACTGTTTCACTTAGCAGAACGGAACACCCCTCTGTTGGCGTAAAATAGGTATTCCTCTTTTTATGACTTTCATAAGTTTTTATTAGTAGAATTAGAATGCTGCACAACAAGAGATGAAGAATTCTCAGGTGACTGCCTGGAGCTGAACGGTCAAGACTGTAGAAGTAATCGATATTTGGGTCACCTTTGAACTATACATCTTCGACCAATCAGCACAGCGGTCTCAGAGAAGCACTTATCCTGCGCGAGATATGGGCTGACAGCCTGGTTTAAGCCGTCAACTGTGCATATATAATCCCCGGTTAAAATGATATAAAGTACTTTGTTGGCAGCCATAGACGAAGAAAGGGGATGGGTGGGGCCTAGCAGGATGCCCCGAAGGGCAGCAGTAAGAATAGGGACCGCATTTGAAGATAACGACTCCACTGTTATTGATGAATAAAATCGAAGTGGCTGACAGTCAACTAAAGCGGCAAGCTTGGTGAAGCGGATGTGACGTGAATAAACTGCAATCAGAAAATAGCCTGGTCAGTGTCATCACTAAGGCATGTCATGCATGTGCAATATCATAACGACCGTATCTTTGCTTACTCGTCGTAATGAACGCAGTATGTCTGAGGGAAATATTTCCTTTGAATTAAACTATTCGTTGAAGGTTTTGTCTTTTGTATGGTAAGACCACGAGTGTGTTTCCATGAAAAGTACAGTCAGGTATATCACCGGGCTTAAAAATAACGAGAAACTAGCACATCGAAATTTCTCACTAACTGGTGACTTATTGGCTGGTCGATCTCCTTATCGGTAATTGCAATGAGAGTTCGACAACTGTTACCGCCGCTGTCCACCGTGTGCTCACAGTCGGGCCGGGGAGCAGGTACGGTGACTTGCCTGTGAGTTGGATTAAAGTGGTAGTAGACTTGTACAGCATCTATTCCACTCTCTCTCTCCTCCTACATATGGACCCGCTGTCAAGACAGAGTCAATAAGACCGCACCACCACCACCAACACCATCAGTCGACCATGCCAGCCACCGCGCCCATTTTCCACTCCAGTCTGCTGACCGTCTCGGACAGCGACTGGGGTTTGGGAATAGGTAGGGAGAGTGAGCTTGACGACTCATCACACTTTCTCCTTATTATAAACAATCTGACGCGCTTGAAGCTATCACGGTGCGCTAAAAGCCGTAGCCTGGAAGGTTGCCAACTGACGGCATAACATGGACCTCATCCTGGACTGGAGGTATGAGAGTCAGGCAGCAATGGCTCCTTCTTAATGTGGCCTTTATGGCACTCCCACTGTGTGGGATCCGAGCCAGGCGTCGGCGGCACGCCTAGGTGCGGCTTCAGCCGTGTCAGCCTCCGGTCTCGGTGGTGTTGGTTAAAATCCTGGTTATTTGTTTTGTGGACCAGGGGGTGTGGTGGAAAGCCAAGTTGAGGATCCGTCCGAGGCATCCAACTGCGGCCGCCCTCGTCTCCGGTTTTCCTGACTCTGTCTTGACACCGGGCTCGGGCGAGGCAGGAGGAGAGAGTGTAGGTAGATGCAGCGCAAGTCTACCGGCACTATAAACCCCTGCACAAGTCAACGTCCCTGCTCCCACCGCTGCTGCTGCTGCTGCTGCTGTGCGGCACATGGTGGACATCATCGCAATCGATGATCAAACTGTCAATTAGTTTGGTGTTGGTCTATACAAAGTTCTCGACAAGTCCCTTGTTACATCTTTCATTTCTATCAGACACCCCTAGCCTATCCTAACCGATCCACATGCAAAGTTCGATTTTGTCATACACCATGAGCCGTGAAGATTAGGCCTATGCTGACTTCACTAAACAGGCCTCGTATTTAACCCATATATTCAAACTATATTAACCATATTTTTCACAAACTGAAACTTCTACCCATCGAAAACCATCAAAAGAGGATGTGTAGCGGTACAACCTAGCCATTGATGGACTATATACGAAGTGGATTCATTGATTACACAAGTGCCCGCTCTCCTGGAAGAAAGTATCCAGAAGACAAGTACGATACCACTGCGCTTGAATGTCAAGGGCAAGTGAAGCCTTCAGTGACACGGTACTTTCAACTTATGGAATTCCCCGAAGCATAATTTAATAAGGCTTTCAAGCTTCTATGCTATTTATTATGAAAAATATTTCCAAACTATTTGTAAGCTTACACTATACAAAGAAATTCGCGTCCATAAAATGTCTGTTTTCATAGCTCTGTCCAGCAAAACGCGCAGTAGATTCCGTTGCTGTAAACACGTTCGACACAGTTGACATTTAGTATGGGTGCGGATTCCCAGTAACGCCTGCCGAACCCCAATCTAGTCCTCGTGGTGGTCCAGCGCATCTACCGCGTGGTGTCTTTTAGGGGCACTGTGTAAATGCAGGAGAAGACATAAGACAAACTTTCCGGAAGGGCAGAGGTTGCGCTATCTTCCGATGCCTGTAATTAAGAAGAACCAGATATGTGAAGACCGGTCCCATGTTTACAACCCCGTTGTTTACTAATCTCAGCAATTCCCTATAGCACTAAACATTTTATTTCCAGTACGCCTGCTAGTAAATGTGAGCCTATTTCAGGAGTCAGCTTACATTGGACAATTGAGAGGCAGATAACACATCGGAAGTTCTGCTGCACTGCAAATGTGCGCAAACTGGAATTCGAAGTGCAGACAGACCAATTACAGATTAGTAAGTGAAAGGGCAAGATGTTAAAGTGAGGTGAAGAACCAGACCGATTTCACGTATTTTAGATCGTTCTTCAACCGATGCATCCTTACCGCCGACTGGGATGTAACTTAAATATATTCCCTTCGAAAATTGTGGTTACAGAACGATGGCCATCAGCTATAGGCAGGTGAACCTAATATGCATCCGCCCAACCTACTGCAAAGTCTGGAACCCACCAAATCTGATACAGTAAGTTGACAGCCCAAGCAGGATTTCCTAAGTAATTCACCTAGAATCCACCAGATAACTACCAGGCTCGCGTAATTCATTGATATGCATTCGTCTCAAAGTTGTGGAACCAATAAACAGAGAATATACCATGAATTTCCTTGAAGTGAACGACACGCTCAAAGGTGTTCAACACGGTTTTTGACGAAGTCAGTGCATTCTATTCAGTGCAAAATCGATCCCATGAGTTAGTGGACACATAAGCCAGCGTTTTCTCATCAATTTCAAAAGTACTTTCGCTTGTGATCCACATCGTCGCTTACTTTACAAGCCTAGGGTATTTGAGACGCAGGGAAGCCTACCGAAATGAACAGAGGACTTCAAGATCGACCGAATACACTCGGCGTGCCTAGGCAGTGCGAAATCGGTGTTAGAGCTAGTTGCCAGTGAGGTATCTTGGAGCTTCATTCTTGGAGCCCTGATGTTCTTCATCTATGTCAGCGACTGCATGACAGGACTGGATTGCAGGGGAGTCACGTTTGTAGATGACATTAAAATACGACACGCGATCAAATAAACTAATGATGAAGGGCCGTGCAGGAAGGCGAAAGGCATGAAGAACTTGAGATCCGTAGCATACAGAAGACCCAGCAAACAGTTGCCACAGGCTGTCTCTTTGGGCGTGTTGTGCGCATCAGTGTCCCCTGCTGAGGTTCTTAGACCCCAGCGCGTGTGTACGCCTTCACTTTCTCTAGGGCGTGTCCGTCTGTAGCCAGTCAGCGAGGGAGGAGCGGTAATTTATCTTCGATATTTCGTAAGACTAGTGCCAAGCCTCACGCGGATCCAGCATCGAATCGACAAAAGGCGGTGGCTGGCATGGTCGACTGATGGTGTTGGTGGTGGTTGTGCGGTCTTC